CAAACTTTCAGACACTGGCAGCATTAACACCAGCCCTACAACTGTCACACCAGTGACCATCTCAACTGGTAATGCAACACACTGTGTCTCTATTGCAGAGGTCTCAAACTCACAACCCATTTTGTGGCCCCCTACTTGATAATAAAGTTTAATGTTAGTGCGGCCCGTCGTTGCGTTTGCTGCGTTTTTTTATTATTATTATTTTTATCCCTTATGGGCTACCATATATAGTCTCGTGACAGCTTACGGTGGGTTCGTTGTCAATAGTTGTCATAGACAACCACGAAGTACAAATATACTGCGCCTGGAAAAAATGAGCGCGTCGCTTCAATTATATCGCACCATTTCTTGCAAAATTCTGGATCATCACGGCCCAATGTTGGTTCCTTCATAATGCGTAATCCTCTGGGTATGCGTTTATTCCTCCAACATTGGGAGAGTATGCTACCATGAAGCAGTGCTCTTGTTTCTTTCTTGCTCAATTGTTGTCCAGGATAGGTCTGCTTATGTACAAGAAATAGAGAGACAACTTGGTGACGTTAACTTTTATGCTAGCTTACAATGTGATCCCACTATGAAGTTTAGTGAAGAGATAAAAACTATATTGAAGAGGGCTGTATCTAACGCAACAATTAATGAAAAAGAATACGTGTTTCTGTTACAAACCAACCCATTGAGACCGGTGTTTTATACGTTGCCAAAAATTCATAAAAGGCTGGACAATCCGCCTGGGCGTCCAATAGTTTCTGGGAATCAATCCCTAACTGAGCCGTTGTCTAAATTTGTTGACCATCATATAAAGAGTTTAGTGTATGACCTGCCTTCTTTTTTAAAAGATACTACTGATTTTCTGATGAAATTGTCATGTATTGGGGAGATTTGTACAACTGATCTATTGTGCTCTATGGATGTGACCAACTTGTACACTAACATCCCGCATGATGCAGGGTTGGCGTCCTTAAAGTATTTCTTGCAGATAAATGAAGTTCCGCACACTGAGTTTTTGTTGTCATTGGCTCATGAAGTTCTTAAAAAAAAATTATTTTATGTTTCAAAATAATTTTTTTCTACAAACTCAAGGCACTGCCATGGGTTCACCCATGGCGCCAAATTATGCCAATCTTTTTATGGGCAAATTCGAACAAGATTTTATCTACGAATCTAATCCTTTTAACCAGTATTTGAAAGTATGGTATAGGTATATAAATGACATATTTTTTGTATGGTCGGGCTCGGAGGATGAACTGATTGTTTTCCATGATTATGTAAATTCGAGATTGCCCTCGATTAAATTCACACTAACCCATGACTGCAAGACTCTGCCTTTTTTGGATGTATTAGTGAAAAAGTTGGACAACACGATACAGACTGAAATTTATCGAAAAGAGACTGATCGTAACTCTTTTCTACACTACCAGAGTTTCCATCCACCCTCTCTTAAACGTAGTCTACCGTATAGTCAACTGCTGAGAGTGCGCCGTATTTGTAGTAATGATGAAGATTTTGAGCGACAAGCAGGAGAGCTGTGTCAAAGATTTATTGATAGGGGCTATACACACAATTTAGTGCGTGACTGTGTAGAGCGCGCGCGCAGTGTACAGCGCGCTGACTTGATGACTAAACGCACTGATCAGGCAAAATCAAATAACACCCCGGTCACCTGTGTATCGACTTATGGCCATATCTCGAATAGTTTAAAGAACATCGTGCAACGTCATTGGCACATTTTAAGTAGCGACCCTCACATAGGACACACGTTCCAAAACTTACCGCGAACTTGCTATAAACGAGCACCCAGCCTGAGAGATCGATTAGTGCGCTCGCACCTTCCTGCGCATCCCCAGGCGCCTTTCCCTTTCAAAATTCCTCACGGTAATTTCAAGTGTTTGAATTGTGCGGCATGTAACTTTATGCTGACAGAACAGGCAGAGTCTATAAAGTTAAGGGCAGAATTACATGTCTCTCTACCTTTATTGTGTATTTATTGACTTGTCCTTGTGGGCTTCTTTATGTGGGTAAAACGAAGCGACAACTGAAGACCCGAATTTTTGAGCATAAGTGCGCTATTAGAAAGAATGATGAGAAATCTTCAGTTGCAAGACATTTTAATTCTGAAGGACACAATGTCAATATGCTTAGATTTATGGGTCTGGAGTGTGTTGGTCGGTCTTCAAGAGGGGGAGACCGTGAGAACCGCCTCCTCCAAAGGGAGGCTTGGTATATTTTTAATTTCAACACATGTATTCCCAATGGTATGAACGAGGACCTGTCTTTAAGCTGTTTTCTTTAAAACATACTACGAGAATTGTTGTAGCCTATCTAATTATGTGTCTTTGTCTGTCATTAATGGATTCATTGGTAACATGTGTATCATTCTAAATCATTGGTTGATGTGATTATGGGTGTGTCAACTGGTGTGGGTATTTAAGACTTGATAAGGTATTGTTCTTTTGCACACTGAAGAAGGCACGCGCCGAAACGCGTTTGTGTATAATAAAACTGTATATGCAAAGTGCGGCCTCTCTCTTCCATACATGCATTATCATTATTAGGCCAGCACTCTTAAAACAAATTGAAGTATAAACTTTGAGTGAAGCCTGCTCCAACCTCCATTTATTCCGGATTAAAAACACAAAATGTGACATCTTTTTTTCTTCTTTTCTAATACCCTTATAGTTACACACAAATGGATGGTCAGGATGATTTACAAATATGTGACAATTTGCAAATGCAAGAACTTTTGTGAATATCAATTCGTTTATTGGCATTTGGGAATTGGATTTTTTGAATCTATTTATATTGAGACTGTTATTTTGTACCGGTGTTTTCATAATAAGGAATTTAATTAAAAATAAAGATATTATAAATATATGTATAATACAGTATAATATAATGTGTTAGACTGTGACTCTATGAAACTTTTCATAAGTGTATCTCTCTACAGACCCCTGCTACAACTACACTGTGCTGGACAATCCATGGAGATCCATCAATAATACACTGAACTCCTCCTCCTCCTCCTCCTACAAGTGTGACCAGTCTGTCTCCTGGAGCGGCTGGTATCGTCTCTTCATTAACGGCATGAGCGCTCATATCCCAGACACGTGTGTTGCTGAGTACAGCTGTGGCACTTGGACCGCACTGTGGATCCGTGGTGGACACCCAACAGTAACAGATGGAGTCGTCACTCGAGAGCTCTGCGGTAACGATGAGAGTTTCTGCTGCTCTTACAGGTCTTATCCCATTAAAGTCAAAGCCTGTCCAGGAGATTATTATGTCTATGAGCTGGTCAGACCAGCAGTACCCATTTCAGCATACTGTGCAGGTAATTATATTCACATGAGCTCTTTCTACACATTGTGGTACTCTGTACTAATATGCATATGACAATAACTTGAACTGAACTGAACATTCATGATATTTGTGTTTCTGTTGATTAATCATTATTCATCCAAACTTTCAGACACTGGCAGCATTAACACCAGCTCTACAACTGTCACACCAGTGACCATCTCAACTGGTAATGTAACACACTGTGTCTCTATTGGCTTATTTCCTGAATGTTTTCTAATGGCTACAGATATTCTATGGTAAAGTTGAACATGGATTTCAACATGAATATTTTCCTCAAAAGTCATGGAAATGTTTTGTAAGAAATATATGAAACCTGTAGACTGTTCCTTTTTGTCATTTCCTTAATGTGTTTCTTAAAATTAAAGTTTGGATCTAAAATGAATCCAAGATATTTAAAATCAGTAACTATGTCAATTGATTAGTTTTTAAATAAAATATCTGCAGTTTGAGTCTGCCCCTTATTTTTACTAAAGAACATACCCTTTGTCTTCAAGGTAAGACAAGATTGTTCAAGCCATTCAACAACACTTTGCATGGCATAAGTTCATTTCTCTGCTGCTAGCTTAGCATTTTTTGCATGTGTGTGCAAAACAGTGTCATCGGCATATAATTGTATGTCAACCCCATTAGAGTGTTGTGGAAGATCATTAATATAAAGACTAAAAAGTAAAGGACCTAATACAGATCCTTGAGGCAGTCTCATTGTGTTTTTCATATATCGTACATTTTTAATTCTAACACACTGCATCCTATTTGACAGGTAAGTTGAGAGCCATGCTAATGTTTTGGCAGAAATATTAAATTTAGAGAGCTTAGAAATAAGAACATTGTGATTCACTGTGTCAAAAGCCTTAGGCAAATCCAGCAACAACTCCTCCCTTATCAAGTTGTGTTCGTACTTTTTCTGTGAAGTGTAGAACGGCTGTTTCTGTGCAATAATTCTTCCTGAATCCAAATTTCATGTAATTTAAGGCAGAGTTGCAGTTATCTAAATGCATTCTCAACTGCTCTATCTGTGATAGTTTTTTTCCATGACCTTTGATAGTAGAAAATGTGAAATTCTGAGTTAAATTTACCTAATGGCTTTTTCCAGAACATACCATTTGTATCCTTTTCAATGAAATCTGTACGATCAAATAAAAAATAAAAAATAAAAAATATCGTTTGTGTAGACACACACAGACATCAGGAATTAGCGTATACATCTCAGCAATGGTGACAAACAGATCACCTCTGAACATAAGCTCATTATTTATTCATGCAGCAATGCATGATGTGAGCCAAGAATGAGTTTTGATTGGTGGCACCCAGAATGCACTGCAACATGCTTTATAATTGTCACCATTGTTGAGATTCACAGGCTAATTATTGATGTCTGTTTGTCTTAAAAAAAGTTTTGAAGAAAAGTAAGAAATTGTGTAAGTGTTATGAAGGAGATGACAGAAGCAGATCCAAATGCAACAATTTATTCAAATCTAAGACTTTGTCAAAGATAAAGAATCAGCATCAACAGTTTCAGGGTTAAACAAAGGCGTGTCGATAACCAGGCTGAAGATCAAGGGCGGGCTGCAGGCAAACGAAATCCAGAAACAGGCAGAGGGTCACTAGGCAGGCTGCAGAAAATCACAGAGATCCACCCAGGCAAGAGTCAAGACACAGATAGGCAAGGAAAACCAGGAATGCTCAGGCATGCACACAACAGTGAAACAATCCTTCACCACCAGACACCAGGTTAACAAGCCAGATATAGGTTAACTAATCAGAGTTGAATCAGAACAGGTGATAGTCAATCAGCAATCAATCAGCAGCAGTCCTACATACTAGGAAGCAATTATATGAGTCCCTAAACATGCAAAAGGAGGCATTGAAACTGGAGTAAGGATATTCCAGAAGGGCTGGCTACCGTAACAGTAAGAGTAACTTTTAAGAAAATATTTTGAATACATCGTAAACGTTAAAAATGTTATGCTGTACAAGGTCACTGCTGTAATAATTAATAAAGTAAACCTAACTCAGAAATTGGGCTCTATATTAGTTCAATGATTAGGCCTAAGGCCTAGTAAAAATTAACATTAAGTAGAATATTTTTGTACTTCTCTTTCACCATGTTCATTATAGTGTGGTGACTCTGACATTACAATGAATAAAGTAATTATGAAATGATGAGAATAAAATTTTAATAATAATAATAAGTTATTAAAACATCTAACATGGTCACCACAAACGCATTTAATTTGTCTTCTACTTTTGCCAGCACTCTCTCCTGGCTTTTGCACACTTTGAGGTGTTCCTGGCGTTTTAATAAAAGACTGAAATTCTACATAACCTTCCATTTAAAGCGCTTGCTCTGCTTGGGAGAAAAACTGGGCGTGTTCTTTGGCCATGCTGAACAGCCAATAGCAGCGCTGCTGATCACTGTTTCTGTTATCGATACATGTCCCCTTTTAAACCAACGCGAGAATGCGCAGTTATCTCAGATAACTCAATCCAGCGATACTAATCATAAACAACAGGTGTGTTCGAAGAACCCAATTAGCCGGATCATGATGAGCATGATGATATTATCTTGGATGTCTCATTTGATCTCAGATGTTTTAAGCCACGTACGAAGAACAGGAATGTTAATTTAGCACTGGGGATTTTACTGTTTACAAATTGATTTATATTTTTATTTGCTCTTTTCAATGCAATTGATAAATGTAAATGTAATTGTATGTTTACTTAAAGGAAAGGACCGGTTTTTCATATCCAGTGAGTGGTTGAGCTGGTCTGGGAGCAGGCAGTTCTGCAGATATCGAGGAGCTGATCTGGTCATTATCAACACTGAAGAGAAGCAGGTGAGATTGTGTGAGTGTGTGGCTTTAATCAATGAGAGGAATCACACTTATCCCTGTTTATATTCACACAGAGGTACATAACTTCATTAGCCAAGGAGAGAGTGTGGATTGGTTTGACGGACATTGAGACTGAGGGGACCATGAAATGGGTGGATAATTCAACACTGACACAAGGGTAAGTGATACAATACTCTCTGTGGACGTATTTTAAACACGAGGCTTCGTCAAACACCACACCCTCAATATTTATTTATTTATTTATTTTAGTAAAAACTGAAATCTTCTCTATCGTATTTTTTTTTTTGTTGCACTTTTCACTATTATTCAGGTTTTGGTATAAAAGAGAGCCAAATAATGCAGGTGGAGACGAGGACTGTGTTGAACTGACCCCTTCAGACTCCATCCAGAACTGGAATGATCTCCCATGCTTTAAGAAGAGGAAAGCGATTTGTGAGAAATAGGGTTCATCCCGTCTTCTCATGTTTTTAATTGTATTTTTGAAATTGTCGCTCTTTTTATTAATTTTTGATTAAGGTTCCTGTCTTTTAAACATTCTTAGAAACTGCTTTCATGATATCAGTTTCATTCTATACTATAGGCTATTTTGTATCATACAAAACGTTACATTCACGTAATAGAAAAACGTACAACTGTCAAAAAAAAGTATTACTGTAATAAACATCAGGAGGGTGAACTGGGTAATCTGGGACTAGTGTGTCCATCACAAGCAGACCTATGCCAACATAACCTTCTTCTGGCTGTTATTATGGATCTCATTTGCTGGTCTGAAGTGTTGAGTTGAAAATCACAGTAAAATATAGAAGTTTAAAGTCTCCCAGATTGCTCTGATTCATCAGTTATTCTGATCAGTGTGTGTGAAACTGCTTTTGAGTTGTATTGCTTTCACTTTGAATAAAATGGTCCATAACCATTATCACCAGTGAACTGTATTTTTGTTTCTATTTCATGTTTCATTCTTGTGTTTCTGTTTATTGATCTATGGCTATATTTGCTCCAGTCCAGCAGGGGCAGCAGAGAGCAGGTTTATCAGACTGAAGTGATCAGAGAGGAACAGAAACATCAGGCCGGACAAAACATTGCACAAAGTTTTTTAAACAGAAACGGTGATGCGTTGAACACACTGTTCTGATGACGCAAGAGTTGCAACTATGGCAGCTGAGAAGGCCAGAAATGTTTTTGTGAAGAATTTTCGGAGCCTGATGAAGTCGGTACAAATATTTGTTTAATACTACAAATGCCCGATGTTACAGTAACTGCACTTGCCGCCCAGAACACAAGAGAACATCCCAATCGAGTGAAGGGATTTGTGGAAACTGAAAGCACACATCTTACCTAATTCAGACTATTTAAACACACTCTATTTAGGCTCACACACTAACTTTATTTGTATTTCATACTGTTTTAATACCCTATTTTCTTTCTCATTATTAGGAAAAGCACTTAATTACCATTGTCTATTTGTATACCAAATATCATACACTTGCAACGAAGCTAAACATATAAACAACTACATAATTATGTTTATATCACTGCGGATGCGCATGTGGTATTAAAGTGAACTCGCACAATGGGTTCAAGGAAAGTAATTTACAAATGTGTTCGATGCAGCTTTTACTCAACACTTAATGACTCAAGTGTTACTACATTATCTAGTCATGATTTGTGCAAATGTTTGAGATTTTTTGGTGAACTTTAGTAACTTTTAGAAAATGTCTAAAAGTAACACTTGAGTAGTTAGTTCCAATGATCTTCACTTTATAATACGAATCCAAATAATTAGTAATTCTGACAGAAGTATCTAGTAACACTTTCATCTGTGAGCTATTACTTACTAATTCGTTAATAAGAGTTTCTTTTAGTTAATAGTAGTTACTAGATTGTTAATAAACTTTTTCAGTAGTTCTCTGGGAAGTATTAAAAAAATAGTAGTTACTTAATAGTGAACTACCACTTTCGTCTGTGCGCTATTACTTACTAGTTCGTTAATCAGAGTTTCTTGTTAGTTAATAATAGTTACTAGATTGTTAATATTGTGTTACTCATTAGTTCTTGTGTAGTTATTCATTAACGAAGGAACCGTATTCTAAAGTGTTACCAGCTGATAAAGACATTTCATGTTTTGTACCAGGCCATTTATAGATGTTCATATAGTTCAAGGCTTTTGGTAAAAAAAAAAAAAAAAAAAAAAAAAAAGAAGAAGAAGAAGAAGTAATGAAGCTACTGAGCCTTTTATTTCATACAAGGCCCAAAGTTTGTTGTATGTGCATGTTCAGAGACTATTTATATAGAGAGCAATATAAAATTGGTCATTTTTGGGAACTACTGGAATAACAGGAGTACTGATGCATAATCTCCATGCTGTTATTTGCTGGTGCAAATATGTGTTGATGAAGACCAGAGTCATTAATTTGCAGAAATGGATAGGAGGAAGTATTTGCAACGATTATTAGGGACAGCATATATGCAGGAAAGCTGATAAAATTTAAGACTTTACAGTTACTTTCCCTGTGTACATGTAAGCAGCTTTCTCTACCGCGAACAATACATCTGAGGTAGACTTATCTTTCTCTTGGTTGTTTAGTTTACTTATATCATCTACACTCAAAAAAATGATGTGTTGGCTTTACTTAACTTTTTTTTTTATGTAAACAGGTTCCACCGGTTCCACATAACTGGGTTTCGTTAAACAAACATAATTTGTTCTTGTATCTTCAACATCATGGAAGTCATTTTAAGCCATCCAATCAAACTCTGAGCTGAGTGTTAAATGAACACTGAAGAAGTGATAAAGTTAATGAGATAATTAAGTGAATATTTGAGTGATGACTGAGCATTATTGAAGACACCTGATGATAACAAGCAGAATCACTGAAGGAGAAAACCAGAATTTTATAAGGGGTCATGAACTGGCTTTTTAAATTTTATTATATTGATGTCTGAGGTCAACTTATGACGTTCGCTTGGTTCTTGCATTCAAAAACATCAATCAAATGAATAAGTAATAGGCTATTTTGTACCCTAATTTTGAGCCTAGCTGAAAAACGCTGGGTTTTTATGGGCGTCTGGCACTGAAGACGCCCACTGCTGTGAGTAGGGCTGGATGATTAACCGAAAAATAATCGAAACCGAAATTCAGAGCCTATAACAGACGTGATTTTACCATGTCGGTTATTTCGGTTTTTGAATATTATTATATCCGCCCACTGTGTGTTAACGTACTTTCCCCTTAAAACATAGTAGTCACGTGACGTCACTCCACCTCGTCCAGTCTGCGACATTGAAACAACATGAGCCCCTTTCACACAGCGCGTTGATCCCGGGAAATTGCCAGAACAAACACCTGTGTGAACGCAAACACGGCCCGGGATTGGTGCCACCAGGTTGGGGACAGAGTAACAATTGCTGTGTTCAGTCCATGGTTCAGTCACGGAGTGCGCGCTGTGTGAACAAAAGCCGTAGCCTAATCAATGTCGCGTTGCAGCCTAATGATGCCGTTTAAGCCGGGATTGTTCGTAAACGGTACGTAATGCGCAAGTTTATGATCGAATCAGAGAAAAACAAATGCACAAGCGTGGTTTTTCGAAAAAGAAATCGCAACTCATAAGCAAACTATAGATGCTGCTGAAACTGTAGACGCTGCTGAGATGTCACGTGTCTTTGCGGGTTGTGTGTGAATGCACTCTCTGATTCCTAGAATACTGAGTCAACTCAGCAACACAAGCTGCTTGCACCAAAGAAACACGTGAAAAAAAAGAGAGTGACTGACAAACGCCCAGCAACAAGTGCCTCCACTCCACAAAGCAGCTTATTCTGATTACTGTCCCAAAACAATAAACATTTAGAGTGTACTGTTTCAATATTGATGCTGAAATGCACATATTATATTATTTATAATCTTCAACATGTAACCTTATGTTGTGTGTTGTGTAATTTCCCAATAATTCAAGCTCAGCAGGATGTAAAAGTAAGTTTCTCTAGAAGGAAATGTGCATTTGTGTTTAACTCAGCATATCAGTCTGAAGTTCATCATCTCATAGTGACACTGAGCGCAAATAACAATCAATAGAAAGTTCAGGATGGTCATACAAGTTCATTTTAATGTGTGCCTTTGCATGAACCCAACATGTTTGACATTCATCACATTTATGTTGTGAAAATGTACAGTGTATCAAAGTTTGAATTTTTGTTGTCAGCAATTTGTAAATTCTAGGGGAGGTTCTCTATATTAAACCCTGCACTCATCCTTCTAAAGTCCACAGCTCAACTGAAGAGACACAGAAGTAATAATGGAACTGGAGGGCCTTTATCACAGTGTTGGCAGCGAGACGAGCAACAAGAGGAGACTGGACAGAGATCAAGATATTTATGCTAAAAAGGTCCGAAAATTCAGCCAGAGTGAAGCAACAGCTCAAAAACACAGTAAGGCATTTAGTGTGATTTTATTTATGTTTATATTGAATACCAGTAATTTTAAACAGCTCGTTCTTGATTTTTAACAGTGCACTTCTTTGTAATTATAAAGTCCTAACAAAACAATAGCAAAAGAAAAGCAAACAGGAAAAAACAATGAAATTTACAGTGCAATTCAGCTGCGTAATTAATTCATGCTGCAATATATGATGGGAGCCATGGATGTGTTTTGATTGGTGGCTCCAATCATGCACTGCAACATGAAGCGTTTGTGTGATTGTCACCATTGTTGAGACTCATATGTAGATTATTGTCTATGTGTGATTTTAAAAACTTCAGATTATTAAAACACTGCTGGAGTTTGCTATTGTAATATGAATGAAACATTTGCTGGTTTAATGTGTCAATACATTACAGGCATGTAAGATTTTTTTTTCATCTAAACATGACCTGGAATACATTTCCCAAAAGCATCCTAAATATAACTAGATCATAGAACAATTGCAACAAATGGTCTGTAAAACTTAGGATTACAATGCTTTTGGGAAATGCAGCCCAGGTCATAGTTTCTCTTGCCACAACAAATGTGCTTTTTGAACACAGAGTTGGAGCAGACAGATAAAAGCTAATGGTAACACTTCACTTGAAGGGGTGTGCACAAGACTGACATGACGTGTCGCATTAATTATCGTTGGCGATACGTCCTCGATATTAACGCGATTTGGCTCAGCTTGTCAGTGAACTACGGCTCTTTGTAGTAAATGCCGCTCCATCTGAAAGCAGGTGAAGGTGATTTACTGCTAATCAAGGAACCGGCTTTACTGATTAGATGCGCATACAATATCGTGTGATATATAGCGCCCAGCCCTACACTCGATGTTAACAAGCAGAATCTCTGAAGGAGAAAACCTGGATTTTTAATTCACCATTATGGTGATTAGCGTTTGCTTTAGTTGGGCTCTTGACCCTTAATTTTTTAACTTTAGATTATGTTTGGCTGTTGTACATGAGTTAGAACAGCCATTTGAACAAATAGAAAAGGTGGTCTAATGGATGTGTTTTA